GGGGGGGGGGGGTTCATCCTACGCCGGAGGTAGTAGGTGTAATTCTTCTGGTGAATCCATGAATAGTTGGCTTAAGTCTGAAATGATTCAGACTGAAAACGTCCAAGAGGAGTTATTCCAATTCTTCCCCGAGCCCCGAAAGGGAAAAGCATCAGTCGACAGAGTCAACAGTCCTCATCGTGACCTTAATCAGGATTTGGCTACGTGCCACTTCAAATGTAGAGCTCGGTCCTGTGGTTGGCATTGACAGCTCCAAATAAACACGCTCCATATGGGAGCGGCACGTTTGCTTTTAAGATAAAGAGCCATTCTGGAGGAGTTTGGATTGCTGCGCCCAGGCACGTGGAGCTACTGTGAGGAGCGAGCCCAAGTAGCGAGAACCTTTAAAAGTAGCTTATTTGTCATCGATCGGGCTGAAATGTGCCGGGGATGCACAGCACGACACGACTCCCGCACGGGCTTTGACCAAACTACTGGTGCAAGGACTTCAGGGTAACAATTCATCTCCAGAGCAGAGTGTAGCTACAAATGTCATGTCTGAGCTGTGAAATAACGCCCCTAAGAGATGCCAGAGTTCAGACAGAAAACTGTTTTATTCTCGGGATCTGTGGTCAACCTGAGGATGCGCTTCATGTAATTGCTTATTCAAAGAGCGCCATCCTGCGGCTGAACGCAGTAAGCGGCGATGAAAGTGGCTGGCCGGACTTCAGAGGTAGCAATTTTCTCACCTCTGTGGACAACGTGCTCCGTGTGCTTTGTGCTCCGCGCAGGGGCGCGAGTGCCTGGCGCGCTGGGTGCTCTTCCCTTTGTTCTGTGCACACAGTAACTGTGTAGCTGGAGTGTCTGTGTTCATGCCTTTGTGGATTCTGCTTCTCTGTCTAACCTGTAATAGATACGTGTATTAAAGAACCCTGACATATTTTTTTAACTTCATGTAGGGCAATCAATGTGATGGATGGGTTATTTCAACATTTTGTTCGGCTGCAGCATATACATTATGTGCTCATGTTAGCATGCATCAACAGAATCATTCAAAAAGCAAGAGGCACACGAGGAGGTGATTACTACCGTATTTTGCTGCAGCACACACCGTCAAGGCCAAAGCACCAATGGCTTGCTCTTTTTACCCTTTGCTTCAAAGCAGATGTATGGATCAGTAGAAGAGGACTGGCTGTTACGTTGCTCCCCACTTTCAAAAAGAACAGACTGCAAGCAGAGGCAGTTGGTTACCTCCTACCCTTCCAGATCCAGCAGGAATGTGAGAAGCATATTGGTGTCCTTTACTCCACTTCCTAAAATTAGTAGGACTGCAAAGAAAGCTATAGGGTGCACTGCTGCTTCTCCTCTAGAGACATCAGAATAAAGCTGCATGGGAGACAGTTTTCCTGTCCTGTCAAACTCTAGGATTTCAAATTTTTTTTGCATTGTACACACAGACAAAACAAATATAAACCTTATAAATGGACAGAAACTCCAGATGACACTCTCCCAGGTTTAAATCATTTTTATTTTTCATGATTCAGATGAGGAATTTCAACCTGGCTCTCTCACATGCGTGCCCTGATGATCATGAGGCTATGGACTACTGTTGCTAAAGCTTTCTTAAGTTTCTCCTGGTCCAGCTATTCCACTATGCATAAGTGATTAAATATTCATCCTGGTAAAGAGAAACTAACTCTGTTGCTAAGTGTTTAGACTTCTCACATGGGAAGTGAAGACCCAGGTTCCCATCCTAATCAAAAAATCAACAGGAGCAGCAATTTAAGCTTGGGTTTGGTAGTTCCAGGTGATGGTCCGGAACATCAAGCTTTCCCTATTCAAGAATAGCCCTTTCCTCCCCTCCTCTTCACTCAGAGCTGGCGCACCTTTTCCAACAACAGTTTGTTAAAAAAAAAAACAGTCTTTCCCCACATGGAAAAAACTCCTGACCAACTCTGATTAGACCTTCTGAAAGACCTCCAAATGCAATGATAGATTTACTGCATCTTTCTCTACTGCATAAATTTTTTTTTCCAAAGTGAACTAAGTTTCAAATTTAATTCAGATACCTAGAAGTAAAAATGAGTTAATTTGACATCTATTTTCATTTTCAACAGTCTGAATAATAATCATACAGCATTTCTGAGAGCTTGCAAGTTTTTAAGAGGAGACAAGAAGCAGGATGTACAGGCGTGATACGAATTGCTTTGCTGAAAGTGAAAAGCAGTATTTACTGTCACATAGCAGCAAAAGGCAGGATGTAATTCCATCTTGAGGTTCTGGTGACACTATTAAACCGTTTGAGCAATTATGTTATTGGAAGCCTTGTGAATGGGATTATAGATACATTAGGCAACCTGTTTGTCAGTCTTTTTTTGATCATAGAACACACTGGCTAAAATATTAAGTATTGAGCCTTGATTTCATTTTAGGCCTTTAAGTCCTTTAGCTTGTCATCAGCCAATGATAATTATTAGACTTTTTTACTTAAATAAATATGTTAACAATTGATTTATACATAAAAAGTAATCTGGGTCCCAATCCTGGGAAATTTTCCATTAACTACAATAAGAAAAGAATAGACATTTTAGAGCCTTTGTTAGTCTGAAATTTTAGTGACATGAACTTATGTTTTTCCATACATTTAAAATGGATATGCTCATGTGTATGTTTCTTCCAAGACATTTTCATTTACCCCCTTTTAATTTTCTCAATGAAGACTCAAGAAGAAACAACCCAAAACACCTAGGAAAAATTCCAACAATGCTTAGAGAGAAAATAAAACTTAAAAATTAAATGAGACAAGATTTTGTCATTAAATTAAATATGACTCAAAAGACCTTTTTTCTTTTTTTATATAACAGAGACAATTTTAATGTCAGCTTCACGTAATACACTTCAACCAACTTTTGTTCTTATGCTTTGCCTTTCAGAACTTTCCTCTGAATATTTGGAGGAAGAAGTCAGTGGATGTCTCTTAAATACAGTCCAAGAAAAAATATGAAAAATATTGCTCAAACATATAAACCATGAAGACACAGAAAACATGCCCATGATAATGGCCACTTAAGAAATGCCACAAAAAGGTAATTTGGAAGTACAGGTTTTTGATACTGAATCCAAAAAAAAAAGAAAAAGGTATACTTGTCTGATGTGTAAAACTAAGACAATTAAGGAGTAGCTCTACAATCTCCCCATGTTGTCCCACGTACAAGACTGGCACCGGATGTTCTAATCAGGGAGCCTACTGTTACCCTCCAGCTTTAGGAGTTGGTCTGGGTAAACATTATATTTCATTTCCTTGTCGTTAGTTTGTGTATACTGTGAATACTTTGTGTGGTCTTTTATGATTTTGTCCTGCTCTTGTTGACCAAACTATGGATCCACTGGCCCCAATTCACCATATGCAGAGCATGGTAGACAGACCAAAGAAAAGTAACCTGCATTTTCTCTAATCAGCCTCGTACATGGGTTCGTGCAGTCTTGAGGATCACCATAATGTGTCCTGTGGGTATCCCACAGAAGGCAGAGTGCAAAGGTACCTTCCCACAAAAGGTAGAGGCACACAAGGTTCTTTAGGTAAATGTGATATCATTTATTAGACCAACTAAATAGTTGGAAAAAAAAAGTCACTCTTGCAAGCTTTCAGGTGCAAACAACTTTCTTTAGCCTGAAGAAGGGTGTTTGCAAGCTTTTGGGTACAAACACCCTTCTTCAGGCTAAAGAAAGTTGTTTGCACCTGAAAGCTTACAAAGAACAATTTTTCCAACTATTCAGTTGGTCTAATAAACGATATCACATTTACCCAAAGAACCTTGTCTGCCTACAACCTTAGACCAACACGGCTACAACCAACCCCCCCCAAAGGTAGTAGAGATTATTTTTAACTTGTTGGGGTGGCCTTTCTCTGAGGCAGTTTTTTGCAGCTGTTTCATTGCTCCTTTACAATGGCTACACAAAGGAATTAGGTTCACATGGAGTACCACATAATAATACCCTATTATATGAAGCAACTGTAATAGCCATTTAGCTTAGAACCAATGCTGGATAGACGTGACCCGCCAACTCCATAGAGCTAATAACTGCTAGTCTTCTTTTAGAACAAAATGAGCAAAAGTTACTTAAGCAGAGTCATATAAAATACACTTAATAAAACAGATTTTATTTTTATACATAAGCCTGTGCCTTGCTAGAAATATGAAACTCAGCCTTGCAGGGTAGCATATAGAAGCTTCTAAGTCCAGCCTAATCAGGTTCTCTCTCTCTCTAGAGATAGAGGAGAGATTCTCTCTTCTTTTTAAAGCGTTCCTCCACTTAAGTCTGGAAAATCATAATATTTCTCCCTTCATAAGTGTTTTCCTTTAATCTTCTAGCTTCTCTTAATATTTTATCTTTCTGTTAGTATTTGAGGAATTTTACTATGACAGGTGGGGAGGGTCACTTTCTGCTGGCTGTGGCCTCAAAAACCTATTTCTGGACAAGGAGAACAATTTTAGTTGTCAATATGAATTCTGTACACTTGTCTTCTCTCAGTCCCTTCCCTGAACCCCAGATGGCTTTGATTAGGGCCCCCAGCTCCCGTTTTACAGATCTTCAACTTAATCAGAAAGGAAGCATATTTACGGTGAGGTGATCTTCCAAGTCAGAAATTCTGGCTTCTTCATTTTGCATTCTACACTGCAGGGCATCAGTCTTGCCCTTGGTTGACTGATTTATATTTTGCCTTTACCAAATGGCTCAGAGAAGCTAATCTCATTAACAGATACCTTAACTGCAGAAACTTCAGCCAGAGTCAGCTTGAGCATTTTAAACTCCTGTTTCATTTCTGGAGGCAGAGTCTCCCAGCCAACCCTACTCACTTCTTCTAGGCTTAGCTCCATTTTGCTTGTAGTAGAAGGAGAAGGGCTCAACTACTCAGCAGGCCTCAGAGCTGGAACACTAACATAAATCCTTGAATTACAGAGATTACAGAAAGGATGGAGACAGGCTTTTTTTCCTCTTTGGCCATAGGGGACAGTACTAGGAGCAATGTGTTTAAGCTGCAGCACAGGACATTTAGGTTGGAGATTAGAAGGAGCTTTCTGTGAGAGTGGTCACGTATTAGAACAGGCTACCAAGACAAGTTGTGCAATCTTCATCCCTGGACATTTTCAGAAACAGGTTGGACAGACACTTGGCTGGGATGGTTTAGTCAGGGATGATCCTGCCTAAGCAGGGAGCTGGACTAAATGACCTCCTGAAGCCCCTTCCAGCCCCACTTTCTTATGATCCTAGAGGTTAGGGAAAGAAATTGCACATAAACCAGTACAAGTGATCAGAAACCGGTTCAAATCGGTAACACAACAGAAGTTCCATGCACATAAACCACTTTCAAAGTGGCTGAAACTGGTTTAAGATAAACTGGTATGAATGTAATATCATGACTGATTTAGGTTAAATCAGTTTATTACACTTCTGTCCCAGATCCCCTCCAGATTCAGGTTAGCTCACAATCCCCCAAGCATCCCAAGGATGCTTTACACCTCTCCTGCAAAGTCCCCCTTTCAGGGTGGGTGGGCTAGCCTTGGCCCAAGCTGTCTGCTCTAGTAGAGGAGAGAGGCGTACTCTAGCACACCTCAGCTTCTGGTCTGGGCTACTGCAGACATGTGGCTGCATTTCTGGAAAAGTAAATATCTGTTCACTTCCTTATCAATTCAATCTATGCAGTTTAGACTAACTTGCAGAGATTGAAGCAAGTCAGACTTGGGCTTTTTGATGGTCTGTACTCAGCCATAGTATTTTTGGACTTGTTCTGACTGCTCTTCTTCATGTTACCTTCAACAAAGACAAGTGACGTGTGAAAACACACATTTAATGCTGTTAAACTTCTTATTTTAAGCAGGGTTTGGAAGACTGCAGGAAAAGCACTGAGCATGCCCAGTAGCACTGCCACGCTAGACTTTAATTTTAAACTGTTTGTTAGGCAGACAAGGTTCTTTGGGTGAATCTGGTATCTTTTATTAGGCCAACTTAAATAGTTGGAGAACAATTTTCAAGCAAGCTTTTGGGTTCAAAAACCCTTTGTTAGGCTAAGAATGAATGTTGTAGAAATGGTGTATGCATATCAGCCCAGCCTCTGGCTTCTTTATTTTTCATTCCATCCAGGAAGAGCACACACCAACTGCTGAAACTTCCTTAGCCTGACAAAGGGCTTTTGAACCCGAAAGCTTACTTGAAAATTGTTCTCCAACTATTTAAGTTGGTCTAATAAAAGATACCAGATTTACCCAAAGAATCTTGTCTGCCTATGTCCTTAGACTAACATGGCTACAACCTACACCCCTGTAAACTGTTTGTTAAGCATTTAGGATCATACCATTTTAATGTAGTATAAACACTTTGTTTGAGATATAAAGAGTTTAGGCTCAAATCATCCCCTGCCTGTTAAACTCCATGTAAGGGCCTCAAAGCTCCTTCTCTTATGACATAATCTGTTAGAGAGCAGGATTTGCCCCAAAACAGGAAAAACAGGGAATTTGGCTTCCAGAATTCATGTCTTTCAAGTAACATGTCAGAGATTAAGCTGTTTCCTCATCTCCCTAATCAATCTGCTGCCTGCCCATATATTCCATATTCTAAGGCCACCACTGCATGATATTTGTGGAGGCCTCCCTTTCTAATCACTCTGAAGAAGCTAAAGAGACAATCTGAACTTCTCATGTACATCCCAATCATATTGCATTTACCAACTACCCCATTTTAAATTAAAAGATGCTATCCCAAGCATGATGAGCTATTATGCTACTAATGTTATTTAAGATAGAATTACTACTAATGATAGATACTAACATGTATTAGTAGCCCTGACTCAGTACTTCTTGATGTGATGGATTAAGTAGTTCATCTTTGTTAAAGGATTCATCTTTGCCATATTTTTGGAAAAGAAAACATTACCAGGATTTGTCCACACTGCAGGTTCAAGTAGGAGAACTACTGTTTTGCACAATACCACCTTTATTTAAGCACAGAGAAGGTTGAAAGACACTTTCTAAGGACTAGTTCTCCCTTAAAAGTTGTGTATGCAAGGCTGATTAGGGTATTGCTTACCTATCCAAACTTGCCTGCTTCTATGAGGTGTTGTAACCAAGTATGACCAGCCCAAGGTCTGTAGTAGCCTTAGAAATGTAATTGGGAAAGTCACTGTATGAGCACAGTATATCCTACACAACCATGGTATAAAACAGTTTCTTCCCTAGTGGAATGTCAGCCAGGCAAGGAGAAAAATCAGTTGGGATTTCAACCAAATGGTCAGTTGAAAACTACAAAACAGAGTTAATTCAAAATAGGAAAGAAAGGGCAAGTGGAGAGTGAAGGTAAAAGCAAGCCACTGGCAAAACTGAACATTCACTCTGGTCAAGCCGATCAGGAGATCCTGCGCCAGTGCTCCGATTCAGACCCCATTCTCATCCATTGCCAGATAAATTGTGGGAGTTAATCCTGTTGGTCCCAGGGCACATATATGAAGTTGCTCCAGTTTTGCATGGCACTGATGGGGGAAGGAGGGACCCAGGATAGGAAACTGCTTTGTGCAGAAGATAGGGAGCCTGTTTTATTAATTTGTCTATTTTAAATTTTCCAAGGATTTATATCAACGATGAATTTGGCCCAGTGGGCTTACTCATGGAATGAAGAGGAGCAGTTCTTGGCTCAAACCTTATGTTTTACTGTTTTGTTGTGTTTCCATTTCTAGAATAAGTCATTTAGCAGTCATCTGCAAGATCAATGAAGAGCAAAGTTGAGAAAAATTTTAAAGTTTTCCACAATGGAAAACCAGATTGGAAGCATT